CCTCTTCATAACTTTTTTCAAAAACTCTTATTGCTCCTCTTTCTTTTGTATGACATGTTATTGTATCCCTTGATCAATGTCTGGTCATTTAAAAAATCAAATTTTAGAAATAATCATCTTTGAAAACTTTTGCCAAAATTTAAAATTTCGTTACTTTCGTTATATTATTTGTGTGAGACAGTTTCAGGCTGTTTCCAATGCATTTTCAATGCGAGACGGCCAAATCTTTGGTTACTAATTTTGAGTAACCAAGGTTTATGTCATTTGTGTTCGGTTACGAACACAACCAAAAAAAAATTTTGAGAAATTAAAATGTAAAAAATCAATATTTTTGGTTAATGGAAAAATGCTAGTCATACAATTTACATATATGAAAAAATACTAATCATAGACCTTTCATGCATTTTTCTGCACTTATAGAATTGTATGAAAAGTGTATGATTAGCATTTTTCCATATATGAAAATTGTATGACTAGCATTTTTGGTCAACCCGGGTGACAGAACGTTAACGCTGTCTTTAATGTTTCTCGAATTGTTCCCTCAGATTGGCTATCAATCGATGATTTTTTAGTTATAAATTTTTCAGCATGCTTTGTTCGAAAATTAACTCCGAAACAAAAGCGCTGGGGCTTTATATTTTAATTTCAGGGCCTACGCATTTTAAAACCTGCCAATTTCTTACTAGCCAATAAGTTTTATATTATACATCGATACAATAGCTTTTATAATAATTTCGAAGCGCACAATGAATATTTCATCAACTTTGCTCATACTGAAAATTTGGCCAAAATAACATCATTGTACTTTGCTTGAATACTATTTGACAAATGCAAAGAATGAGGCGTGCTTGAACAATTTTTCGTGAAAATTGCAGGCATTTAACAAATATACACTCGCTTTCAGTTTCAGTTTCAGATTTATTCATCAAACTGAGCCAAGAATTGCATCTGACACGTGATTCTGAAATTCTCATTTCTTTTATTTATACTTTAGATACTTGGATTTCCTTCGTCTTCTGCAGATAAAAGTCGCGAATTCCAATTTTCACCGAGGTGAGATTTTTTTTATTTGAAAAACTACGGTTCTTGACTTACGCTCAATCTTTTAAATAAAATGAGGTATTTGTGTTTTGACATCGTTATGCATGTATATATTTCGATTTCGTTTGACGGTGACGAACCTTGCAAGATACTTCCAATGCTGTATCAAACCAAATAAACCAAACAAACCGACTACCAAAAGCAGTCGGTTCCATAATTTGACATACTATATGGCTATTATATAAACGGTTACATATCAGTATTTAGACAACCGCGTATTCAGACAAATACTGTTTCAACCAATCAGAATCGAGACAACGAAGAAACTAATAAATAATTATTATTTATTTTGGATTATTTGTCTTTTCTCGATTCTGATTGGTTCATACAGTATTTGTCTAAATACTGACGAGTCTGACGACTTTTTAACTAGCCATTTTTGACGGAATTTTTTTATATCATTCGAAAGCTATTGTTGTCTTGAGCTTAAATTTGAAAAGATATTTCACCTGTGATTATTTTTCGTAAAGTTATGAGGGTTTAAAGATTGCCATTTTGGCCATTTTGACCAATTTGGGACAATTAACACGCGATATAATTCGCGCTATTATCGCGTAAGCGGAGATTTAATCCTTCCTAGAAATCGTTCCAAATTGGTTGAAAGAAGCTTATTTGCCGTAATTGATTTGTTACAAGGAGCGAAATCTATTGTTTTCTACTTTATATGGCGTGTGGGGGGATGATTTTCATAGAAAAATTTTCAAATTTTAGAAAAAAAAGTTTTTCATTTTATTTATTTCAGTTAATTTTTTTATGTTGTTTATAATACTGCTCCATAAACGTTAAAAGGCAGTCGGAACTTTCAGGGCTTCGCCCTGATACGAGCAGTCTTGTTTTGTTTTCGGGTTCGTTCTTTGTGGAAAAAATTTGAGAATCTGATGAAGAATTGCAATTCAGACGACAATGTAAGAAATACTACTAAATTTTGCCACAATACAACAATTAGAGTCATTCAAAACTGAGCTGTAGCTATGATAGACAGATCTCTTAAAAATAGTGATTCTCAAACATTCAACTCATTGGAAGCTTATCACATTGAAACACGCACAAGTTAACGTGCAACTGTTTTTGAGCGAAAGTGATAGCCAATTTGCGTAACTTGTCCCAAACCTTCTCAGGGCGGTAACATAAAAAGAACTCTGAGCTTACAGTACACGTAACTAATTGGAAAAAAAACATTTAAACTCTTGGGACGAAGTAATACTGTACACTTTGAAATGAGCCCGCAGTGAGATTCCTAGAATAATAACCGATTATAATCGATTTAAGTGATCAAAAATGTTGCTTCTATGGTTGACTATCATTACACTTTGGGAATACGCAATCGGTTATAATCTATTGTTGTTCTTAGAGAAGTTATCATCTAGTCTATATAGTTTGAATGGTGGGAGTTTGTGTAAAAAACTTGAGGTGAGGGGGAGACAAGTAGAAAAAAGAAAAGAAGGAAACACTGAAATTTTTAGCTGTAGCAAAAAGCAAAATACAACTAAGCGATTACAACGCTCAAGTTTTGAATATTTTGTCATATGGTGCTAACTCAGTTCGTGACAGTTTAAATTCTAGCCATCAATCAACTGTCAATCGTGTTGCTAATTAGTCGGTTGACAGTTGCTGATCTTCGGTTTTGTCTGTCACCCTTGGTTGACCTCTAATGTCACTCTTGGATTTAACTTCGTAAGATTAAGTTACATATATTGTCGGGATTTACTTTTTGCTTGATTCACCTCTTCAACAATGCGCAGTCGGCGGTTTCAAGTGGGGGAAAAACCCACTTGCTATCACCGGATTCTGGCCACCGAAATGCATTGAACCGCCAATGCTATGGGAGTTTTGGATGAATAGATTTCAAGGGGAATAGTGACAAAGTACGCGATTAACCCGAAAAATTATTATTTCGCGACCACTCTCACCGAAACCCAAATCACCGCTTGTAGGGGAAGTGGACGGAAAGAACCGTTTGAAATCCGAACAAACACTAATCTCAAACTTGTACATGTGTCTGAGCGAAAAGGGACAGGATGAGCTGCATAAAAGACGAACACAATTGGACCTCTCAACGGTTCGTTACCCAAGGATGTTAGATGCACTGGAGACGGAATTAAAAAAGGAAAGGAATGAGACGTATGAGACATTCCAATTTCTCGCTCGGAAACAGCAAATCAATGAGAGTCTCGAGTAATTTCACTCTGTTTTAAGTGGGCTTGCGGCCCGATATAACTTGGGAGCATTAGAAGATCGAATCTTCAGGGACTTGTTCATTGTCAACATGAACAACCGTGTAGCGCAGAATGAACTGTGCCGATCCACCAAAACACCGGAATATGTGTTTAGGATTGCTCTTTCGAACGAGTGGGGCAACAAGTACGCAAAATCATATGTAGAAACATCCGCCGGGGAAATATTGGAACCCGAGGATCAGCAGGGGGAGCGATCCAAATAAAATCCAAACCGGTCGGAATAATACAAGGAGGATTCAGAAAAGGTCGTTCACGGGCAGGAGCATGTACCACGGACGCGGATCGATTCGGTGGTGGGGATATGGGGAAATATGATGCAAAGCAATCGATGTTACAACCGCGATCAACCAAACTTTACCCGGGAACATATAAGCAAGTGTCCAGCCAAGGTAGTCACTTCTAATTGTTGTCGCAAAATAGGACCTTTTGAACGTACCTGCAGGGTGAAGCGTGGAAATCGGCGAGGAAGAGGGGCAGTGGGAATAATTTCGGGAGAATGATGACAATAGGGAATCTGGAAGACGACGTAACATCCCAACACGCAAGCTCCATCGGATGGGTAAACCCGAGTAAGCCAGTAGTACCCTCGTAATTTTCAAGCAGCTCGGATGGGGACTACATGGTAATGGCTGTGAGACATAAGAAACTCACTGAGCTTAAAATTGCTGTGGCACAACTGCCGATTCGGATAAACGGAAGAGCTAGTCGGGTGTGGATCAATAGTGGGTCCCCAATCTCTATCTTCACCATCGTGGAATTGCTACGAACCCTTAGAGCATCGGGGTTAAAGCGGGAAAATTCCGTTAGAGCTGATTGGAACTATGACTGTTATTTTTGAGTCAAATGGAACCGACCATTCATCATCTGAAGGGACTTGATGACACAATTGGGACTGCAGTTGGTTCAACAAACGCCAGGTGACCAGATATTGTCTAATGACGAGGAGTTGAAAGAGGAATCGGGGCAAGATGGGGAGCTAGATTTGTGGCAAGACTAATTCGGTTAGCAGTTTTCAAATCTTTTTAAATTGGTGGGGAAAATAAGAAAATATAAGGTGCAGGCGGAATTTTTTGAGAAACTAACACCAGTACAATAGAAGGCTCGACGAGTCCCAGTATCATTACAAGGAAAAGTGGATAAGGAAATCGATAAACTATTGAAACAATGTCACATCGAAAAGCTTGAAGAATGTTTGGATAAATATTTCGTGTCGCCAATCGTAATAACAGTGAAAAAGGTGGGTCAGTAAAACTAGCGCTCGAGTCAAGGGAGCTAAATAAACACGTGCATAAAAATAAATACCAAAAGCTAAATATCGAGGAATTAATAGGCACCGTGGGGCAAACAATCAGCGAGAAGAAACTGGGGGATATATATTTTTTAACAATGGACCTAACGTACGCATATGGTCAGTTTCCTTTGAGCATAAAAACGAGCGTACAATGCAAATTTTTTCTTCTCGGAGATCGGTTAACGGGTAAGTACCGGCTCAAAACAGGACTCTAAGGCCTAATCACGATGCCGGCTGAATTTCAGCGCGCAATGGATTGCTTCTGTCCGAATTTCCACAAGCGCTGTTTGCAAAAAATTGGGACCGGACGGGTGGAGACCGACTTCATTTGCCTCAAGGTACCTCACTGTTGCGGAGAATAAGTATTCGACGAATTAATTAGAAATTTTGGCAGTAGTATCGTGGGCTGAATATTTCCGAAATTACATAATGGGCAGGAAATTTCTTGTAGTAACAGACCAGAAAGCGCTAGTTTCTCTTTTAAACGGCAATAACAAGAAAAACAAAACGATGTTTAGCCGTTTAACGCGGTGGTTGGACCGACTCATTCCTTTTGACTTTCAAGTGGAACAAACACCAGGGGCGAAATATGGGTTGGTGGATTATTTATCACGACATCCAAATAATGAAGCAATACTAATTAGTACCTACGATAACATGTTCACAGTAGCAAAGATTAACTCAAAACGTAACGCTCTCGGTTTTGTTCAAGAAAGCGCATCCAGGGAGAATCAATTACGTAATAATGCATCCAAGGGACCGCATTTTAAAATAAATAACCAACGTTATATTAATATTTGAAAATTCGTCACGCAATAAGCCAGTAGATGGCGTCAAATCATGCGAACAGAAATTGACCAATCAGAAACGAACAAATGGCTTAAACCAACGGTTGCGAAATACGAACGAGAATTTAGTCGGTGCTTTTACTCAATTGGAAAGAAGTTGTTTAAAATTTTCGAATTCAGGAAATCACATCAAAATGGAGCAGAGTGTGAAGAAATTGCAATTTATTTTTGAACGAACTGTTTGGATAGTAGTAGTGACGAGATAGAAAAGTTAACATCGTGTTTAAATTTAGAAGCAATTACCAAGGAGACTAGATCAGTAAGAACAAATCAACTTTATTTTTACCTTCAGCATTTAAAGGCGAAACAATTTCACTGGTGGACCTAAATACTGTGTGTATGTCAATTGTACTCCGCGGATATAAAATTGTGAGCAAGAACACTTCTCATCCTGAGTTATTTAATTTACAATTTTGTGAGTCCAATTATGTTTCCGTTCCTCAACTAAGTGCAATCAGAGACTTAATCAAAACAAAAGACCCAAAAATCCACGAAAAAGTTTCGACTATGAACCGCTATTATTCCCAATTTGTAATCGTTTTTCTTGCGAAGGAAAATGTTGTTTGGATGGATGAA